TAGAGTATTCTGAGACTTTTGAGAAAGATTCTAGTAAACCAATTTATAAAGGAATTGCCAAAACCAAATTTATGTAGAGTAGCAAATAAAAAAGTTTAGTCTATCGAATGCTTTTTCTGCATCTAAAGCCAATATATAGCATTTAATATATTTGCTGTAGGAATAATCTATTAAATTCAGCAGTCTGCGTGTGTTAGCAGCTGACTGCCTTCCTTTAATGAAACCAGTTTGATCAGGGTGGATTATGAGAGGAGTGATTTTATCTAATCGTTTTGCTAAAGCTTTACAGATTATTTTAATATCCACATTAATTAAGGATATGGGACGATAGCTGGTCGGAAACATAGGATCTTTGCCTGGTTTAAGCAGGAGACTAATGGTGGCAGAATTCATATTAACTGGAAATTTGCCATTATCTAGAGTTTCCTGCAGCATTCTGTGGAACGTTGGGGCCAGAATGTCCCAGAACTCTTTATAGAACTCAGTAGGGAACCCGTTTGGACCTGGTGCTTTATTATTTGGCATGCTTTTTAATGCTTCCTGAACTTCAGCTGTAGACAGCGGTGAGTCCAAGGTCGCTCTTTGACTCTCTGATACTTTAGGAAGAGTTGTTTTATCCAGAAATCGCTTGATATCATTTTCTGATGGATTTAACTGTGATGTGTATAAAGGTTTATTGAAATCTGGGAAGGCTTTATTAATATCCTCCGGATCCTGTAATATATTACCAATTGAACATGCTGATGTTCCAGGTAAATCTTTACACACCAAGTATGATGCCCACTCTTCCTTGAAAAATTTGAGAAACTCTTCATCTTTAAGCAGTGATATATTTAATCTCCAGCTCTTGTTTTGTGGGGCTATTTTTTTTATTTATTAGGGTTAAAGTAACAGGAGCATGATCACTGACAGCAATAGGATGGATTACAGCATCTGAGACATCAGACAGCAGCGAGCTGCTGATTAGGAAATAGTCCAAACGAGAGTAGGAATGATGGACATTGGAAAAGAAAGTGTATTCCTTACTGTTAGGATGAAGAGATCGCCATGCATCGCAAAGACCAAAATCACTCATGTATTGTTTGACTACGTTTAATGATTGCCAACTGCGCTGAGTCCCTGTTGTATTCAACCTGTCCATTTCTCCATTTAGACCAAAGTTGAGGTCACCCCCAATAATTAGAGAACAATCCCCGTGCTTTGAAAGTTCATGAAAAACTTTGTGGAAGAATGAGGGGTCGTCAACATTTGGACCATATATGCTGACAATACATAACCTTTGGTTATAAATAGATATTTTAATTATGATGAATCTGCCTTCAGGATCTATAATTTTGTCTAATAAAGTGAAACTGAGGTTTTTGTGGATTAAAATTGCTACCCCTCTCTGTCTAGAGTTATAGCAGGCTGCAAACACATCAGGGAACTCAGGGGAGTTAAGATCACTTATAGTTGCTGCTGATTTATGGGTTTCCTGCAATAAGACAACATCTGCATTTAATCTTTTAAGCTGGTTAAAAATCTTAAGCTGTTTCTCTCTGGTGCCAGCTCCATGCACATTCCATGTCACAAACCTTACATTCACCATAGGTGTGAGTGAGAAGATGAAAAGTACATGCCTCTGAATAAATAGTTATACCTAGACCCAGGTAGCATCCAACCGTGTGCTTGTGATTGTGTGGACCACAGGGAGGAAGCAGACGAATAAGGAAAAGGAAGACAGAAAATTAAGAGAGTGCAATGAGTGAGAAAAGGTGAAAGAAAAAGAACCCCAGCCCATGCATTCTGTACCCAGCTTCAACTAGCAGTAATACCGTGCAAACGTGCTCTAGAGCTGTGCATATATTTCATTTATCACCGTGAGATGTTCTATACACTTTGATCAGGTGTCACATGCTTTTAAAGCTGCCTGTTGTGCATCTAATAAAGCCAAGGAGTGATCTTCTGATCCCTGAACAACTGACCATTAATATAAAGTTTGCCAACTGCTACTGTAGCTCTGACACCTTCACTGATGTATTTCTTCCTGATTGGGAATAACGCTCGCCTGCTATCTAGTATTTCCTTTGGATACTGGTCATTAACGCTGAAATCTGTTCCTCTCAGCTCTCTGCCCTGACTCCTGACCTGCTCTTTCTGCTTGTAATGCTCAAACTTAGCTACAATTGGTCTAGGACGGGATTTATCAGGCTTCTTACCTCCGAGCCGGTGAACGCGATGGAAGGTGATGTTTTTTACCTGGTCCGCCGGGATTTTCAGCTTCTTCTGGAGGAACTCACGTACTGTCGTCTCAGGGTCCTCGTCCTGCTGTTCAGCGATTCCAGCGAAGACAAGATTGTCTCTCATGCTCCTCGACTGAATTTACAGAATGGATTCCTTCATCTTTCTATTTTCGCCGGACAGCTGGATCATCCCCTCGGCGTGTTTGGTGACTTCCCCCTTCAGCGCTTCATTCTCGGCGCTGACGGAGGCCAGCAGAGCTTGGCTGAATTCCAGCGACTCTCTCATAGCTTGAAACTCCTTATGCAGGACTTCTACCAGGGCCAGGCGGGCGTCCAAGCTAGTTAGCTTTTTGTCGATGGATTCCAGGACGTCGCCGTAGCTCCTGTCTGGAGACAAAGTAGATGTAGAAGCAGCACTGGCTGAACTAGACCGACATTGTTTGGTAGACGGTGTGTTTGTGGATGTGGGATTCTTCGGCTTCCCCATTACGATGTTGTCAAAACACTCGTCAAGGTAGCTCTCCAGGCTCGTCAAGGTCTCGTCTTCCAGTTTGTTCCCTCGGAAATACGGTACAATTGTCAAAGTTTAAATCTGCTTTGTTTTACTTACATTTATTGGCTTACTTACCAGGACTGGAATTGCTGCACAACCTCCCACGGAGGATGTGCAGCGTCTTTTTAAGACATATCTTTTCCATCAACACTGGTTCTGTTTATTTCATTCATTAGAAGCTCCATTATCCACAGCCAATGCCAGAGTCTTGTAAAATGTAATGCATATAAAGTTACATTCAATAAAAAGAATAAAATTAAATAATAAAAATATAGAATAATGAATTTACAGCTGACCAAGATGGTCGTTTTAAGTCACAATTCACTGTATGATAATTCCAAATTAAAAAACCAAGATGGTAAATGGATTCCCTACTCTCAGCAATATATCCTTATTAATTTAACCATAAATAAACACACATCATAGAGGAGCAAAATAAAACACATTTATTGGTACGTGATCTACTGACAAATTTTCTGGATCAGCAAATTATATTTCAGCTCAAAACCATCAACTGAACCCAATCTCTGGCCTTTCTGAAGAATAAACTTCTTCCTTTCTAAATCTAAAAGGCAAATGTGGGAAATATATTCCACTCATATATTCCACTATAAATGGATGTTATTTTCATGTAGTTAGTTGCTACTTCAGGTAAAATAAATCTGTTTGCAGAAGCATGTCTATCAGCATAATAATGAATATTTAAGCTAAACGGTAGATTCTAGGAAAGGGTTAAAGGAATCATGACAGAAACATTCCTGAACAAACATAGTAGCAAATACTGAAGTCTTTCATGTATGGAAGAGAAAACGACTCATTAGAATCAGACCTTTTTTAAAAACCCAGAATTTTTAATCAGTGCAAATATGTATTTGAATGATTTTACTTTAAACTAAAAAAATAAAAAACAACAAAAAAAATCTGTAAAAATTCTACTGCAGAATTTAAAATATTAAAGAAATCAGCTGGATAAATTCCACTGTTTATAACAGGAACATTTAAATATTTCATGTAGCAAATACTAAATCAAATGTTCTGATCACTTAGTTACTTCTGATCAAACACTTTTTTCCTCTTTATTCATTTCTTAGATTATTCCTTTTTCCTGTGATTTGGGTGAAACTGTGTCTGAGTGACGCTGCTCTGATTGAGAACAACTTTTAGGTCCTTCATCCTCCTCTAGAACTCAGAAGGTAGCAGTCATGAAGGCTGGGCTTAAACTGCACATTTCTAAAGCTCTTTCATTTGTGCTTCAGTACAGAAAGACAAACCATTTATTTAAAGATTTACATTTTCAGGCAGGATTTCACCAAAACTTTGAATCAGATTTTTATTAGATTCCCAACTTAAAGCAGACAGCCACATGTTTAACTCCTCCAGCCCAGTTAGTTGTTCTCTCCCACTCGCCCGCTCTCGTTCCAACCTTCAACTGTACTGGTTTCCAGCTGGTTTCCAGGTCTGACAATGCAGCACTTAACTAACCTGCTGGGAAGGAAAGCAGCAACCTCTGCAAAGCCTCTTACCTCCTTTGCTTCCTGAAGTTGTCATCAACGTTCAGAAGCTTGACTGATGTTCATCCTCACTGTTTTCATATCGCTTGAATCTTAGAAATGCAGCATCCAGAAGCAGCCATTTCTCAGCTCTATGATGGAGCTACTAGGATCTGGCAACACCTGAGCTCCATTTGATGAGGCTTCAAACTAATATTTTTATTGGAGCAGAATCCTTTTATGTTGACGTTGACATCATAACCAGGGAGAAATGTTTATATATTTTGGATTTCTGCGATGGACTGGCGACCTGTCCAGGGTGTACCCCACCTGTCGCCCATTGACTGCTGGAGATAGGCACCAGCACCCCTCACGACCCCACTCGGGACAAGCGTGCTAGAAAATGGATGGATGGATGGATATTTTGGATCCATCAAAATTTCATAGGACAGATTTTAGACTTTATATACTACATTGAAGGATCAATCAAGGCTTTAGTATGTTGATTAATATTTTCTTGCCTATTGGCTGGTATATCCAGCTGATCCAGAATGCTGCTGCCTTCCTCCTTCTCTCTTTCCACTTCAGTCCTGCTCTGCATCCACAGTGTCTCCTGTTTATCTCGTCTCTACAGAAGATTGAATATAAACTGAGAATAGAATTAGCTTCCTGCTCTACAGGACAGATCAGAAAGCAGCTAACTGGGAACACTGGGACTGAGCCACATGTTAACTGAGTGTCTCTGCTTTCCTCTCAGATTGACTTCATGTCTGCAGAGACCATCAGTTATAGTTATGAACACAGAGGAGAACAGAGCAGAGTCTCCATCCTCCAGCTGTCCCAAAGATCTTCCTGGAGGCTTCAGTAAAGATCCTGGAGCAGCAGATCCAGGGTGAATCATCTGTTACTAGCTGCTTTAATCATGATTAAACATCATTAACCTCTGATAGATGGAAACTAAGTCAGACTGAACTTTAACCTGAGAAGTTCAGCTGCAGGAAAGAAGCTTCAGGATGTCCAACCAGCTCCAGGAACGTTCTCTGATGAGAGGGAAGCTGCAGCATCATGCTGCCTCCAGTGCAGAGCTTGATCAATAATGGCAGCATCATGCTGCCTCCAGTGCAGAGCTTGATCAGTAATGGCAGCATCATGCTGCCTCCAGTGCAGAGCTTGATCAATAATGGCAGCATCATGCTGCCTCCAGTGCAGAGCTTGATCAGTAATGGCAGCATCATGCTGCCTCCAGTGCAGAGCTCGATCAGCAATCAGAGCTGTTAAAACTACTGATTTAACTACTATATTAAAAAAAGAAAGTACAGGTTTTACATTTTACTCAAGTGCAAAAGTGAAATAATGATGAATCAATAAATTATGAGTGAATTCATTTTTTTATATTTCTAGGAACAGATGATGAGTTTCTCCTCCTTATCTCACTGTGTTTGTAGAGAAGCAATGAAATAAAGTTACTCAGTCTAGTTTTGTTCTAAATTATAATCTCAGACAGGATGATATAAACTGAACTGAACCTCAGTCCTCGATGAGCAGCTGAATATTTTAGAGATCTGATATTTACAGCATTAATGCTGCAAACAGCATTAAAATGAAAATAGAAACATAATCAACATGTAAATTAAAAACCTCCTAAAGGGGGAATAGATGGAGAATGTCCTGCTTCCCAGAATCTGATCCATCATCTGCAGTGTTTTCCAGCCTCCTGTCTTCATCCATGTCTCTATCAGGGTTTTTCTATAACCTAACTGGGCTCCAGATGGACACATTCTATTCTCTGTTTTCCTGCTTTGTTGCAGCTGTTACATCATGTCTTTATCAATATAGTTTCATATCAATATAGATCATATTCTATGATCCAGTTTCATAGAAGTAATCATTAAATTCAGCAAAAGACTAGGAACTCTAACTCCTGAAATTTGATATTTTAGGGGATCTAATAATAAAAATAAATAGAATCATATAAGTAAAAATAAAAACTAATGGAAATTACTGAACAACAACTAAGAGAAAAAAACAAAAAACAGAAGGAAATCTAAAATATAACCACAAATGTTATCCATAAAAGTCAGAACTCCTCCCTGTGGGTCAAAAGTGAAAGCTCTTGTTCTGTTGTCATGGTTACTGTCCCTCCCCTTAACTCCTCCTACCTGCCCAGCCTCCATCTCAGGTGAAGTTCTGACTGCAGGTAAACTGGTTCTACTGGTTCTCCTTTTCTGCCTCCATCTCAGTCTGTTTTCTTCAGACCGTCGTCAGTTCTCTGCTTCACCTAAAGACGCCGTAAGTTTAACTATTTAACTTTGTTTCATAGTAAAAGTTGAAGTTTAATGGTTTAACAGTCTGTTTCTGCTTTCTGGGGTTTTTAGGAAACATTCTGCTTTTATTCCAGACCAAAGTTTGAATTTTACTGTAAATAAAGGAAAATCTCCAGGATTACTAGATTATTTTCTGAAACAGTCGACATGAGGAGCAGATGATGTTTGTTCACTTAAAAAATTGATTCTTTTTCAAGTCTTTAGATCAAACTTTCATTTTCTCCTTTAATGTCAATCGCCAAGCAGAGCAGCTGCTTCCTGTGCAGCCTTTCATAATAAGAGCATCAATATTATTAAATATCAATTTTACTAAAATATACGTTTCCTTGTATTAAACTGCCTGAAGCTTTAATAGAGCATAAAATCCATCTGTTTAGTTTGATGGTTTAGAAACACATCAGGTCCAGATGTTCAGAGTTTCTGATGCACAAAGAAGTATTTTTAATGACACTAGAAGCTCGTTTTTTGTACAGTGGGCTGACAGGAAAGGGGTTAAGAGGGGGGGGAGAGGCATGTGGCAAAGGACCACAGGCCAGATTCAAGGCCACATGGAGGACTAAGGGCTTTACATGGGAATCGGTGAATGTTAATGTAGCTTCATCCTGTGTTCTTGGCTGCAGCTGCAGGTGTGTGAGCTGATGTGAAGTGAGCAGCATGGATCAGTGTGAGGACAGAGAGGACAGAGTCCCTCCCTCTAAAACCACTCTGGGTGGAGTACATGAGGACCAGAGCAAAGCTCAGAGGTCAGATCACCATCTCTAACTGTCCAGGACTCTTCTCCATGTCAGAGCTCAGCATGAACATCAACAAACCATCTTTATTCACAGGAAACCAGCACAACCAGAACCTGGACCAGAACCCAGCTGTGTGTCCTTAAAGAGCAACAGGTCAAAGGGTCTCCCTATTGATTTTAAATCAGACCAACCTTCATCAGCAAACAGGTGAGCTGTTTCTAAATGTTCCACTAATCAGTTTAACTTCATTCCAACATATTAATGTGAACTCAACTCTTTCTCACATGTCTGTGTTCACATGTGAAGCAGTGAGTGATGGAGGCTAAATAATGGAAATAATCAAAGGATTGTTTTATTGGGATGATATGAAATGATCTTGTTAGATGATATTGGAGCTAAAATCAGTTGTTCTTCCATCCAGTTCAATCTTTCTGGATCACCTTGTGTCACATTAGTGAACCAGAGTTGGTGCTTCTGCAGAGCTGAAGGTGATGCACATGTAGGCAAGTCATGATGCTGATTCAACTATTAGATGGAAACTAAATCATCCAAACTAAATCTGATGGAACACATGATCTCTCAAGGGCAAGTAAGAGGAAGAGATTTCAGTTCTGCCCTCAAAAGAAGGACTGTAAAACACATACTGTGTGCTACAGGTGTAAGAAATATATCTGCAAAGGCTGTGCACTTGCATACTGACCTACATGTCCTAATCAGTTGAATGGGTGATGTTATTTTTCATATTTTTGTATTGTACATTCTCTTAAATTGTTCACTTGAGAAAAATAAAAGAAAATGAGTCATTGAGATGAATAAAATGCATTCGAAGCCCCTTTTTGTACATTTTTTTCTTTTCTTAAGCTATAGAATTTCAAGTGGAGAGGGAAAACTCAAGTATTCACACATTTTGTGGTGAATTACAATATAGAAGATGAAATTTGGTGTTTAAAATTCAATTAAGCTGTTTATATTGAGGATTTAGTGAAGACGAGTCATTTTGACCCGGAAGACACAGGGTATATTCAGAAAATGAGGACAACAGGAGAATGAAAAGAGCATGGAGAGATGTAAAAATTATTTTAAACTGAAACAAATTGTTTGTCTTTGTTCAGCCTGGTGTGGGGTAACCATTTTTTGTACCTAGAAGAACTGATCCAATATCCAAAGTAAGAAAAGACAAAGGATTTGAAATGATTCAAAATTGTTATGTGTCACCCCGAAATCCCACATACTCCGTCAGCGCTCCGCCCCGCTGCGCTCCAGATGGCCTGCGCAAAGCAAAGCCTCCAGCCTCCGCTGAGGCTTCCGTCGCTCCGCTCTGAGTCCCTTGGAGATGGTGGAGGGCATGCGCCAGATGATTACATTCAAAGCAGCAGAACATGCGGAAATGATCCAGGGTTTCCGCGGATCATTAAAAATAATTACAATTCATAAATGTTTTTTAAATTAAGGCCTTAATTGGCAATAAAATTAATTAAATATGTTTATTGTGGCATTTATGATTCTTTAATAAAAAATGTTTATAAAAACAATTTCGTCAGATATATCGTGATTAATTTGCGTGAAACTGATCATAAAGCCGTATGTTTGGAAAGGAAGCTGGAGGCGGAGAAAAGGAAGTACGTCGGAGCGCCGACGTACGTCAGCCGGGCGGAGCGGAGCGCCGACTTACGTCAGTGGGGCGGGGCGGAGCGCTGACGGACGTCAGCGGGGCGGAGCGGAGCGCCGACTTACGTCAGCGGGGCGGAGCGCCGACGTACGTCAGCGGGGCGGGGCGGGGTGGAGCGCCGACGTACGTCAGCGGGGCGGGGCGGAGCGGAGCGCTGACGGACGTCAGCGGGGCGGAGCGGAGCGCCGACTTACGTCAGTGGGGCGGGGCGGAGCGCTGACGGACGTCAGCGGGGCGGAGCGGAGCGCCGACTTACGTCAGCGGGGCGGAGCGCCGACGTACATCAGCGGGGCGGGGCGGAGCGCCGACGTACGTCAGCGGGGCGGGGCGGAGCGGAGCGCTGACGGACGTCAGCGGGGCGGAGCGGAGCACCGACTTACGTCAGCAGAGCGGAGCGCCGACGTACGTCAGCGGGGCGGAGCGGAGCGCTGACGGACGTCAGCGGGCGGAGCGGAGCGCTGACGTACGTCAGCGGGGCGGAGCGGAGCGCCGACTTACGTCAGCAGAGCGGAGCGCCGACGTACGTCAGCGGGGCGGAGCGGAGCGCTGACGGACGTCAGCGGGCAGAGCGGAGCGCTGACGTACGTCAGCGGGGCGGAGCGGAGCGCCGACTTACGTCAGCAGAGCGGAGCGCCGACGTACGTCAGCGGGGCGGAGCGGAGCGCTGACGGACGTCAGCGGGGCGGAGCGGAGCGCCGACTTACGTCAGCGGGGCGGAGCGCCGACATACGTCAGCGGGGCGGAGCGGAGCGCTGACGGAGGATGTGGAACCTGGGGGTCAGACAAAAGAGAAACACATGGGGAAACATGGAGAAGAGGCTAGGGATCATTAGAGAGTAGGGCAGCTCCAGTGTTCAGATGTTCTCCTTTTTCTAAATGATGAGAGCAGCTCCTGTGAGCTCAAAACCTGGGCCTGACACACCTGCTGATCCTGGAAATATCTGTGCTCTGAAACTGGGAGAGAAGCTCTCCTGTTTTCCATGCAGCCAACAGCAGGTCCAGCTTCCACACTGCTGGGATCCAACAGCTGATTCCAGCTGCAGCCTGAATATTGCTCTGCATTTAGTGGCAAACAGAGAAACAGCCAACAGTGATGCAAAGAGCAAGAAAAAGCAACAGAGTTTTTCTAAAGACTGAGACCTTTATTTAGAAGGACAAGCGACTACATCAATGTCAGGATTCAATGAGAATTGTTTCTCTGCAGGGCCAGCCTTTGTCTCCACTAGTAGATGTATCTATGAAGAAGATCTGCTGTCTCCAACTGTTAACTTTTACCCTTTTTAAATTAAGCTTTCCATGCTGCTGGAGCATCTGCTCTTTGCTAGTTCTTCTCTAACACGTCTTCTCCTAATGAGCTTCATGCTGTTTGCTTCCTTCAGACTGGAAACTAAATTCCCATCTGAACGACGACTACACTGCCTTTCTTCTCTAGCGGCTTTAATTGGACGACTACAGTAGCTCCTGATCTCTGAGAAATGTTTGGTTCTGGTGTTGGACGGTGCAGTGGATTATTGGACCGCTTTGGTTCTGGATCATTGGTTTCCTCTAAACTGGTGAGGGGTCTGAAGTGATGAAGCAAACAGAACTAATGAGATGGAGCCCACTTCATAGGTCTAAATGCTGAGGATGACTAGTTTCTGCTGAGTCATGCTTTAAACTGTCTCTTCCTTCAATGTAGAAATACCTGCTCATTAGTTAGACCCTGAAAGCAGCTTCAGTTTTAGCTCTTCTAACAGATGTCAGGCCTGCACAGCCCACCAGCTTGGAGGACCACAGGAGTCCCCTTCTTCTTCTCTGAGATCCAGGATCGCAGGCTTTGAGGAGCAGAGCCGGACCCCCTGCTGCAGAACCGGAACCATAAGATCTGCAGAACGCAGCAAACTGGAGCAATAAAAAAGCTTCCAGGCTTCCAAAGCTTCCTGAGGCTTGAACCTTCAGCAGAAGATGTTGGGCTTGGCTTGTGGTTCTTTTCAGTGAGTTTGAGGAGCAGAGAGCCAGGCTGGGATCGACTTCCTCTTCCTCAGACAGAAGAGGAGGAGTTCAAAGACAAAAGTTTGAATTTAGCTGAAGCTGAATCATTCTGTGGACTTTAGAAAAATGTTTCCTGCAGTGGGACATTCAGTCAGTGTGTGAGAGATTAGTTTTGGAATCAAGTCTTTTTCAAAGCCTTAAGACATGTCTCTAATGAAGCTAAAATGACTAAAACATTTTTTTATCCTGATTCTAAACTGCTGAGTACAGGATCCTTATCAACATCATGTTGTTCAGTTGAAAAGTCTTTTCATAGGAACTAAGATCCAGTTCTGTGCTTGTTGTAGTTTTTTTCCTGCAGTATCTAACTGGAGTTTAGCTTTTTCAGGACTTATTGGGAATTTATCCTGTTTTTTATTTTTTATATTCATGAAAAACAAGATTTCCACCAAACAGGACAGGAAACCTGAGCGAGCCTTTCACTGGTTCTGCTGTTTAGTTTGGAGAAACTCTATTTCCCAGCAGCCTTTGCAGTTTCCTGTAGAGGATGATGGGAACTGTAGTTTAACTCTTGTGACTACAGGAATGTTTCAAACAGGAAAATTGAAGGTTCTTCTCCTTTCTGATGGTTTTCTTTTAGTCTGTCTAATTCATCTGAACTCTTAACTGTAAATATTTATTCCCAAGAATCAAACTTTGATTCTAGAGGCTTCTTTTAGAGATGAAAACACAGCAGTCAGCTGATTTCCTGTGAAACAGGAAGTGAACTACCTTGGGTCCACTCCTTCAGATCAGCCTCCATCTAGAGACGGAGAGGATGAACTAATCCTAGAGGGAAGTGTTCCTCTGGGTCTCCTGGGGTTCTGGAGCCTTTATTAGATGTTCTGTAGAATAAATCCTGATTTAGTGCTGAATAAAAGTCTGGTACCGTCAGCTCAGTGCACACCAGAGCGAAGGAGTTAGAACAGAATCAGATTATTTCAGATGATTAGCCCCGCCCATTGCTTTGATTTAGTTCTACAGTCTGATTTAGAAATCACTGATCTGGAAAAGGATTGGTTAGATCACAGCAAGAATTTAATAACTGTTTGAAGCTTCTGATTAAAAAAAACTGTTGATGTATTTTCTACTTTTCGAATCCATTCAATGAAATATCAAATAAAACTTCAGAAATATGTTTCAAACACAGCAAAAACATTTCAGCTTCAATGTTAACTTGATGATTTAGAGCTCAGGTTCCTGTAAATTAAAAGTTGAGCAGATTCACCCCTCCTCACCTGTCCTGTAAAAATGGGCGGAGCCTCAGGTGAACAGGTAAACACTGAAGGTCTGGACTTTGAGCAACAGTAAAGAAAATAGCACATAGACCTGAACCAGGGTGAGTGTTTGCTGCTCATTTTTATCCTCTCCCTCTCAGGGTTCTGACTGGGTTCTCGGTAATTAAATCCACAACCTTCATTTTTTGAGACTCCAGAGAAACACTGATTGAAATGAGTGGAACTGATGCATTTCTTGACAGAGGAAATAAACAGTCTGTTTGATCCTGAATTATGTTTTCTTAGGACTTTATTTGGGCATAATAATAATAATAATAATAATAATAATAATAATAATAATAATAATAATAATAATAATAATAATAATAATAATGACAACAATAAAAATATAATAGAAAGCAATAAGGGTAGTTCTTGTAAATATTAGTACTAGTAGTATTAACAGGCCAATAGTGGTAGTAGTAGTTTTAATAGTTATTGTACTATTTGCATT